CTCTTTCTCAAAAATAAATAAACATTAAATTTTGTTTTAATATATGGAAAGAATAAAAATTTCCCATAATCCCTACCAAGCTCACTACCAAGAAAAGCTTGGAGTAGTTCCTGACAGTCTTTTCTCGGTGCATAGATGAGAACACCTAATTCTTCTGCTTCTTTTTAAAGTTCTACAAAGTCACAGGGCTCCTGGCTGGGTCGATAGGTGGTGGAGCATGCAACTCTTGATCTCAGGGTTGTGAGTTCGAGCCCCACATTGGGCATAGAGATTAGGTTAAAAAAAAAAAAAAAGGATTTATCTATCTGTTTAAGTTCATTTATTTTGAGAAAGGGAGAGAGCACAAGCATGGGAGGGGCAGAGAGAGAGGGAAAGGGAGAATCGCAGGCAGGCCTTGCTCTGACTCGGGGCTGGGTCTCCCAAACCATGTGATCATGACCTGAGCCAAAATCCAGGGTCAGCCGTGTAATGAACTGAGCCACCCAGACGCCCCCAAAATGAAATCTTTAACGTAGAATCCTACGAAGCCGTGACCGCATGGAATGCTGTTTAGAGTTCTCCATTTCCCCCTTAAGATTACAATGAAGCGTCCCCGCAAGGCATTAACTAGGCTTCAGAAATGCCATCTGATGGCTGAGTGGTCTCAGTGTACCCAGCACCATGACTATGAGGGAGAATCTGGTAAGGTTCCGCCTCCCAGGCCCAGCCCAGCACTGCCCCCCACCCCCCCGTGACCCCTCAGCCTCAGCCTGAGAGGGGGCGGCCAAGTTCAGGGGTTAAGAGCTGGGACTCTGGGGGCAGGCAGCCTCAGTCCCATCCCAAGTCCGTCCTGTGTGACCTTGGGTCAGTCACTGCCCCTCTCTCTGCCTCCTGCTAAGATGGAGATAATTCATAAACCCCCAAGTGGAACCCTTGAGGCCAGATGTGTTTTGGCATCTGATGTTAGGACGGTGAGGCACTGGGGCGCCTGAGTTGGACGTCCCACTCTTGGGTCTCAGCTCAGGTTGTGATCTCACAGTTCAGGGGTTTGAGCCCCGCATCGGGCTCTGCACTGACAGTGTGGAGCCTGTTTAGGATTCTGTCTCTCCCTCTCTCTCTGCCCCTCCCGCCCCCCCCAAACATAAATAAACATTTAAAAAATCTTTAAAAAAAGAAAAGAAAGGTGAGGTACTAATGTGCAGCACCTCCTGGCTCTTCTAAACCTCGTCAAGTGTGGGAATATTTCTAGAGTGAAGTGTTTGAATAGTCACATGAGTGGGATCAATAAAAGCTTTAAATAGCCTCCCCCAAGTTCTGATCGGGCCCTACCACCCAGTGGCATTTGGTGCCAAAGTTATGAACAATCTTCTGGTTTTCACAGCTTGATGGATTTCACAGTTGCAGATACTGAGTAAGTACCCACCTCGTAGGACAGTTTGTCGGATTAAATGAGTTGTTGCCCATAAAGCATTTAGAACGGTGTCCCGTGCCAAAGAAGGGCTCAGTGCATGTTAACTGTTGGTGTATTTTTAATCCTTTTTTTATTGAGGTGTAATTTACATACTGGAGTGTAATTTACATATAATGAAATGCCCCGTTTTATCTAAACAGTGTGGGGAGGTCTGACCGTCTTATTCATCCACATAGCCACCACCCCACCACCCCG